TTTGATTTGGGTCAGACCCCCAATTTTGACCATATGACCGAATCTCACCAAATTAAACCCATAGCATAGTCAATTGGCCCCAACTAATGTTGAAAAATATTGATAACATTTCTATTATAACTTTCTTAAACATCATAATCAACCATAAATTGGCCTTGGTGAAGCCTCATAGCCATTTGATTTTGCCCTAAATCCAAAATTCCCAAATTTAGCCCCAAATTGGTTGTCCCCAAATCTCGGCTAACTCCCCAAATTTTACTCAATTTATTACCTTAACCCCCAAATTAGCATCTAATTCATGTTGAAAACTCTTCATAGGGTCCCCATTGACCATTTACAACAATAAATTTGGACTTAGCCCAAGGATAACTCAAGCTAGACCCAATCCTAGCCCAACATGACCAAATTGACTAAAATTCAAAATTCCCTCAAATTGACCATTCAATTGAGCTCAAAACCAGTTCCATCCTTCACCAAAGTTATTCCTTATGATCATATGCACCAAAAACAATAATTAATTGGGCCAATTGACGTAGCTAGAATAGACCAAACCCAAGACTTGGTCATTTGCACCCACTTGGACCCATGCACTAAATGTGACCTAACCACCCTAAAGTAAACAAATTAACGCCATCACAACCATTAGTTGGACATAGTGACCAGTCCAAACACCATGAAACTACCTAAATCAAGCCATGGACCAAAGTTTGCCCAAATCAAGGGATATTATTTCCAAAAATGCATGTTCTTAAGATATCCTTACCAAAATTAGGTATCATTGCACTAAATTACTGTGACATCTTCCCCTGGGTTCTTTGAGTTCCTAGCCACCCCCCTGGTCGGCCGGCCAGCCTAGTGGCCAGAAAAGCCTAGTGGCCGGAAAAACTCAAAACCGAGAGACACCACCATGACACCTTACTTAAATCAAACCTAAAGTTCAGCATATCCAAATCAAATTGAAGAGCTCCTCTGCCGTCCGCCTAAGCACCACAATGCACCCAAACTTGTGCCCTGAGAGCCACGCCATGGCCATTTTTATAAAAACTCACCTCCACGACCATGGGAGGTGTGCTAAAATCTTCTCAGAGAGAGCTTCCCAAATCACTCACAGAGCTTCCTTGAGATCTCCACAGCCCATTCCAATCACTCCATTGCCTTGATTCCCTTGTATAGCCCTAAATTTGAGCTTAAAAATTAGGGCAGAAATAGGACATCTCTCAAAACTCCACCAAACTTAAATTGCTTGGGCCCACACCTTCACCACAGCAAGCACAGCAAGAGATGACAAAGCCCCATAAAATTACCCTCTGAAATAAGCTCCACCATAGCTCTAGACCAACACCTGAAATCGAGCTTGGTCGAATTCATACCTAGGCCTTACACCACAATAAGAGACTCCAATGAATGCGCCAAGAAAGCCTCCCTTCAGAGAGCAAAGGTATAAAACTTCTCCTCCTCCCGAGCCTATTTTGATTCTCCATTTACTTGAGCTTGA